ACACCGCCATGATATAATAACAAGCAAAACTCTCTCTATGATAAAAAAAAATCATCTCATTACGAAAACTTCATATAAGAAACCCTGTGTCTCTCTATGCGTGTCCTTGACAGCCAGCAAATAAACATAGACACGTAACTGCCCTTTTTTTTTATGTTTCCCTTTCATGTACTTTAAACGTCCTACGTTTACAATATGTGTGGGGTCAATAATACAAATCTACAGAAAATGCAACCCTTCTATACAAGATTACAAAATAATACAGAGTCTTCCCTTTCAAGGAATAAAAAAAACCCCCGCCTCCCACATTAAAACGCCACTCTCATGGGTCCAAACCGCCGTACTTGCCATAAAATTCAGACTTGAAATGGCAAGGACGCCAAAAACGGCGGGAGCATCAGAACATCATGGCAAAATTTTAATGGGGTTCCATGGCATTTTGTAGAGAGAAAAAATTGGGTTCCATGGCATGTGATAGAGAAAATGGGTTCCCAAGTTCTAGAGAGAAGTGGGTGTTCAGTTGTGTTCCATGGCATGTGAACTGATATGCACAGTTAACTGCCAAACACCATGGTGATAGAGAGAGACATACAGTGCCGATGCCATCCATGGATGTCATAGAGAGAATAGGGCATTTGGTTGCACTTCCATGTAGGGAGCGAAACAATGGGTAAACCTGCAAATTATTGGGTAGCCTCAGAGTCCTCGGGAGTGTCAGTTAACTGATTTTCTTCGGCGATTCTCCTTTCTTCAGCAATCCTTGTGGCCATGATGGACCTAAAAACAACCAAGTCTGCAATCTGCATTAGCATTTGAGCTGCTTTGCGCTTTTCCATAGCTGCTTGTAAGGCCGTGACTGCAGCTTCAGTAGCTTCTCGAACTCTTTGCTCCGCTTCAGGGTTAGGAGGTTCTACATATTCAAAGAAGGATATATCTTTAGATGCATATGAATTGCAAAACGTGCTATCTGAATATTAAGAAACATGGAAACAGGAGATTGTGATCACCAAGGCATTAGTTTAGAACCTAGTCACAAAAGCATCTGCAGTAGAAACTACAAAGGAGGTGGAAAGCAACTTGTCCAATAGGAACACCTGTGTTGTGCATGTTTTATATATATATATATATATATATAGAGAGAGAGAGAGAGAGAGAGAGAGAGAGAGAGAGCATACTAATAGACAACAAAGTTAGGGTAGGTATACTAGTTTACTAAATAACGTACCAAAGACAGCTATGTAGTTCCATGAAATAACTGGCCTTTATAAGGGATCAAGGTAACTAAGTAGTTCCCACTGACGGGGGGGGGGGGGGGGGGGAACATACACCAAAAAGAGAGAAGGGGGGACAAAAGGCTTTAAACAGAGGGATTGCATATGATCTTGCCTTTGATATAAAAATGTCACAATCAATCCTAGCAGTGGGATGTGAAATTGAACAGCTATAGTAGGGTCACAAAGTTCGAGACTATTTTCTTTGACTACTTGTAGGGAGAACATACATGAAAACGAGTGGAGGGCAGGAGGCTTTAAACAGAGGAATGGCATACGACGAGGATAGCACATGACCACTTGCCTTTGGTATAAAAATGCCACAATCAATCCTAGCTGTCGGATGTCAAATTGAGCAGCTAGAGTAGGGTCACAAAGTTCGAGAATTTTACCTTTGACTACTTGTAGGGTCAATAAAACACCCTCAACTGTCTATTTCACATCTAATGACTAAAAATAAACGTCGTTTGTACCAAATGTAGATATATTGTTCTTCTAAGGAATTGGACTCACAGCGCAGGAGCTGGATATGTAAATAACAAATGAAACACACACACACACACACACAGATTCACAAAGCAGATGCAGAACATGCATGTAAAAGTCAAAACTCACCTCCTAAGAAACCAGTTGACTTGCCCCATCCACCTAAGGTTGAGGCTGTCCTCTTAAAAGATCTTTTCTTTCTCAAATAAGGCTTCGGAATAAATGGAATCCGTTTCCTCGGAGGGCCCTGTTTAAAAAAGATAATGCATATCATTTCTACAAAAATTTATGCACCAAAAGTTATGACCATCACCTTGAGATCCTGTTACATAACAACAGCAACTAAAAACAAAGATATCAGGGAAAACACTGGATATTCTGGTACCATAAAAAATTATACCACAACGGTAATCCAATCAAACTTCTTGGTGTAATGTTCGCACGAAACAAATATTAACCAATAATCAGCCTTTCCTAATATGAAAACCAATAAGGAGCAATTATAACAATGCAAGTCTCTCTGCTGGATCCCTGCTCCATTCCGTTGACTAAAAAATTAAAAATCTGGATTCATAGGATCAAACAAGGGAAGACCACTAGAATCAAAGTCCATTGTGGTCATCATGCTTAATGCAATGATGGATGGTGATGGAGAGAACAGGACAAGTTAGAACAGGAGCACGATCCCAGTAATGGGTCATTCTCTCTCAATCACTATGAACTATTTCACTCCAAAGCACACTTGGGCTAGAATAGTTCAGGGCTTGATGAGCTATATGCACGCTGAGAAAAGAAAAGCCCTTTAATCAACTAAAGTATGGAATATAGTTTTAAGAAAAGAAAATTTTTGTTGGCTGTGGGGAGCGGGGGGTAGAGAGAGAAGAAATACGTAGAATCAGAGGAAGGTTATGCCAATATCATCTTATTGTACTTTGTTGATGTCTTGGAGGATACTTACATAAGCAGAGGTTGAAACCAGACAGCACCAAATCATATACTCCGTGCAAATAGAACATGGTAGGCCATTTATCCATTTTGGAAGACAAGTTACACTGATTTCGCAGATGTTTTCTTTTTTTTCTAATATTTTTTTTTATAGCCAATTTGATACAAATCCACAAAGCTATAGAGATCTTCTCTCTATTTGTCCAACATGACATGCCTTACCCAGGCATCATTCAAAGTACTCATGATAGAAAATAGCTGCAACCAATGCTGCAATAACAATTTAGTTTCTCGTGTAACAAAAAAAAGAGGAGGAAATACTCAAACAAAAGATAGTGTCAAAGATAGAGACCAAATGTCATCTATATAATCAAGGTCCCACAACTTCAATGGGATTCCAATGAGGAAAGCTGAAGGCTCAGAACATATATGAAAGAAAGCATTTGATGTAACCAGTTAATTCATCCTTAGCTTGATTAGCTTATGCTACGAACTTGTCTCTTTGTTCAATAAATGATGGGAATGCAAGATATAAATTAACCTGTTGCTGCATCTGTACTATTTTCTGAGACAAACAGCAATGCATGCTTTTAATCAAGCACCGAACATAAAACCCACCAGTGGAATGTGCTTCAACCAACATGAGATAGGTTAGATGATAGAGCATTATGCACAGCCATGTCTCCATTTTAGGAGACCATGTGAGGTCAAGGAATGAATTTGAGTATCCAATAAAAATACTCTTAAACGAATGGAGACATGAGAATAGATGAGAAAGACAAGAGAAAACAAAGGACATGGGGTAAAGGGGAGGGAGAAGGTGAGAAAGTTTCAAGACTCTAGACATGCACACCACACAAACATATTCTATGTAGTAGCAGAATTATGTAAAGAAAAATATGCAAATCTTACGGAGAGGGGAAACCACCATCCACGTTTTAAAGTTTAGGCAGGCTTCTCAAGAAATCTACACCCAATAGTTCACACCAAAAATTAAGGCAAAAGCTTAGGCTAGGTGAATATCAACATGAGTGTAAGATTGATTGGGAGCACAACATGTACTATTTGGTGGTTGATATTCACCGAACAGACACTATAGAAGGCATCTATAAGCTTCTTGCGAAGAGTGGTTACATTCTATCAGCCTTCATAGTATATTAATGCTCAATATGTTACATATGATATACGCTTGAGCACATACAATTCAACAATGCCTTCACATCATAAGATCTACTCCACTCGGATAATTATACAAGGCTTATGGCCCAAAATCTGCTACAGATGCAAGCTTCCATAATTAAGTCCTTTAATAAGGGCTGCCAATATAAAGAACGATTTTTTCTTTTCCCCCCTAAAGAAGGATAAGCCAGCTCTCATTCAGTCAGCTTTAGAACACTATGAGCACTGCTGTGGGCCCCATCTGTTTTTTGATACATAATCTATATTGCAAATAATTGTTGTAAATCTTTGAGAAGGATTGGCTGTAACTCATGTCATATTTCACATAAGAAAAAGAAAACAAATAAAAAAAGCATAAGACAATGGAAGCAAACTTGATAATAAAAGCAGCACTTTTAATCGTGTAATTTCAATCGAATTGCAATGTACATTTACCTTGTAAACTTCGAAAACCTTAACAAGCGATTTATTCTTTCGCTTCCTCTTTCTTAACCAGTATGCGTGTATAGCAGCCACCATATCCTTCTTCCCTAAATCCATACAGAAACTAGTCCCTGTACTCTCATTGAAAACATCGTCCAGATGCATAAAAGCAACCTTTTCAAATGTGTGTATTATCTTTTCAAATGTTTCACCTGAAATATGATCAGAACAATCTTGCCCCTCTTCAGAGGACTTAATATTCAATCTCTCAAGCCACTCCTCATCTTCAGTATCCATATCATAGCCAATGTGTTCATTCATTAGGGCCCGGCTTGGTTCATCATCCCTCACCATGATGTACTCAGAAGGCCTCTCAAAGAGAACACAATTGTTTGAATTGTAACCCTTGACCTCATGAACGCCAGGAATTGGGATTTCTTTAAGAACAGCCTTCATATTACGATCATAGCATTCCTTGTTAAGTTCCCTGAACAAAGCCCAGTCTCTTTTATCACAAAACTCCAGCTTCCAACCCTTTTCCCCAGTCCAAATCAAGGCATTTGTGAAACGGTTTGATCCACTAAGCCTCACTTCTTGTGCCTGTGCCTTAATTATATACCTTGTTGAACCATGCATCTTCACAATAACATGCCATTCTTTGGATTCAGAGCACTCCAACATAATTTCCGCCCCTGATTCCCTATAGCATTTATCACATTCGATAATCAAAATGTTTGCCTGACAAATTGCTGAGTCCAGACACTGTCTCAGCTGTTCCATAGCCGACTTCACCTCCTTAAACTTTTCACTGCCACTCCTTTTCTGAGGAGTTTTCAGTACAGATATAGGTTGTGGGGGGGTAATCATTGCATTATCAAATCCCATATTGTCCATAGAAGGCTCTAAGGGTTTATTGTACACTTGTGCCAATCTGCCTCTTAAGGAAGGAACTTTAATAGAAGAGGCACTACCCTTATCGCCGTGACGTTCATCCCATGAACCATTCATATATCTATACCCTGCAAATCCATCTCGCTCTGCGCTCTTAGGAGGAGTTGTTTTCAATTGCCTTTTGTTTCCATTATAATAAGCCCCTCCACCAGACAAATTTGCAGGGCGTCCCTTTGACCTCACATGAGAAACAGAATGAGGAAGCCATTCACCATTGTCAGTACAGTCGCCATAATCTATCATCATAGGTGAGAACCTACCATGTCGATTCCTTTTCTTTTGACGCTTTTTGGACTTGGTAAAGTGTTTACTGGGTGCAGGGCCCCTTTTAAGTGGAGTGGTGGTGACAAGAGCATCGGTTACTTCATGATTGATGTGCCTTTGATCTACCCTCTTCCGCTCTTGAGTCAGGCCACGGTCATCAGTCCCATATATCACACATTGGGAACAATCATGTACAGTAAAAAGATAGCATGCCCTAAATAGATGAGATTTATTACGTGGGCATTGGATATATATATCTCGGGGATGTCTTTTGTACAGAGCCACAGAGGCTCTCCGAATAAAATGCCAAACAGATGGATTTCGAAAATGCAAATCCCAGTGCAAGCTCATGAAATAAGTTGGGAGAGCCGCATAATTCACGGAAACCAAAGGAATGAGTTGATCAACACCTGAAATTGCAAAGAAACCAAGCCTACGTCTACCTGCAAGAGCACCCCAACTAAGACCTTTTCCATGAGGAAGTAGAGATACAGGACCACCATCAGGATGCTGAAATTGCTGAAAAGCAGGTGAAAACTCCTATTAGAAAGTATTTCTACCATTTTCTTAAAAAGGAAGATATTATATTATTTCTTTTTTCTCTATGAGTAAACAATTTTTTTTACTGAAAGGAAATGCAAAGGGTTTAGGGTGCAAATAGAAAAAACAATTATGGCAGCAAGAATTCCAAACAAATAAATTGTCATTAGTTATTCTATGATCTCTATTATGATTTAAAAAACTAGCTATTCCAAGAGGAAAATGACAATAAGCAAAGTACATATTATAGTTTTTTCCACAAAAGGGGGGAAAAAACAGATTACACTTTATTTTATATTGCAGACTTGCAGTAGGCCACAATTAAACCAAAAAGAAATAGAAGAAAGAGAGACATATGAATAGAAGAATGAATTTTTTGTTAAAGCATCAACATTGATGAACAATGTGTTGAACCATGAAAGAAATGAATTCAAACTATAAGTTATTCTTTCTTTGCAAGATTTGAGGAAATTATACGTTCAGTGAGTGGAAAATGTAAGATGCTCTCTTGTTTCTTATGATTTTTCTACCGTATGCAATTCCAAATTAAATAAGTATTAGTCATATAAAGTAAAGGTTATCATGCCTAAAAAAAGGAGTGATAATATCCTATCTTGAATGCAAAAATGTGAAATAAGACAACAAGAAAGAAACTCACAGTCTCTTTTGTAATGCTCATTTCGTTTCCAATGCTCTTGCAATCTTCTATGCAACAAGTTATTGCTTCCCTTTGCTCTGGATGAAAAATGGGTACGAAATGAATCCCATGACCTGAGAAAACAGCAGTAATAGCCTCCGAAAACAAAAACCCAACGAGCCTGTACACTCTAAACCTTGCCCTCAAAATTCGATTCAAAATAGAGACCAAGAAGCTCACAAAATGGTGATGCCCATCAGAAGAAGTCTCAACTAGGACCACAAGCATAACCTGCCCAAAATTTCTCCATGAAAGATTTCGCAATAGTAAACCTAAATCTTGTGAAAGTTCAGGAATACCAGTGACCCCAGTCTCATTGCTTTCTCTTCTCTTTTTTCTCCTATCTCTTCTAACAAAAGAAATTCCATACATTTTGTCATTGGATATCCTCTCTATTCCACCGTGTGGAATAACATCAGGGGCTGATCTTTGCCGCTTACGAGTGTAAGACACACCAAACATTCTTTCCTCTCTACTGTTATCCAATTCTTCGGTTCCGAGAAGCCTCTCTTCATTACTTTTATCGTCCGAGCACAAATTTGAGTTTGCAATGCTTGAACATTTTGGCAATACCTCACCAGCTTCAGAAGTGGAAGGATCACAACGCGATGATTCGTTTGTCCACAAATATGAATCCAATGCCACAAATTCTTGCTTCTCTTCCACTTCAAAGACTCCACCACTGTGCTGATATTCAATGGAATTTCCATCGATAGCCACCAGACTTTCGCCAGAATCCTCATTTTCAGGGCCCTCTGAGTTCCTAAGAAGCTGGACCCACTGTTCTTTTTTGCCATCAGATGAAACTTTTATGCTTTTATCCAATGTCAATCTTTTCCCGGATCGCAGAACCTTGGCATCTGAGTCTGAACTTGATGCTTTCACAACAGTTTTAGGGACGAAGACTCTTGTGGACCTTCGTGTGCTAACCGAAGGCATTAGGGAGCTTCTTAGATTAGGATAAACCCTAGCTGAATCGTAAAGGTTGGGGATTTCCTGATCTCCTTCCTTGTAATCTTTATTTACATCTCGTTTCATGATTGGATAGAAGAGCAGAGAGAAAAACAACGACTTCCATTTATGCATCTCGGGCAATGGCCATGGCATAACAGTCCTCTGACCTCTAAAGAAACCCTCCTCTCTCTCATGGCAGAGAAAGCTCAAAGTAACCCTTTAAGGTCCAACCAAGGCCACAATGGATTCTCTTGAAATGAGCTTGAAAGAAGCTTCAGAACGGAGTGCGAGTCCCCAGCTTTCTCTAAAAACCCCAGTCGATCTCTTAACAGTGAAAGCCCCGTGTATCTTTCTCCATCAGCGCAACGAGAAATCCCACCATGGAAGGACCTTTTCAGGCAAAAGACACAAGAACCAGTGCTCCGATCACTGCAAAAACCCTAGTTCTTGAAACGACAGCGGAATCCTCTATCTTTGTCCGTTACAAACCAGAAAGCCTGTAACAAGTCGCCTCTAGACCATGAACACGCGTCATAAACCCTCTGATCTCTGCAGAAACTCACGTTCAGTCTTATTCCAGTCAAAACACTACGTAGCCTTTACCAATTAGGCAAAAAAAACCAGAAAAAAGATGGTAAAAAAAGGGAGGATCCTCAAGCTTAATCCATGGAGAGAGAGATAATCAGATCGCCTCAAAAAACCCTAACTATCCATGGCCGATAAATCACAGCACAATCGCTTCGTCTTTGGAAGGGTGGTTATGACGTTTGATTTTCACGTATTTCCTGTTGTAGGAAGAGAAAGAAACCAGAGGTTTACAGAAAGCGCCTCTCTTCTCTCTCTCTCTCCAGAAACACAATCTCTCTCTCTCTCTCTAAAAAAACATACGCTCTCTCGGAACCGCTGTTTCTTTCTCTCTCTAAAAGCCTCTTTCTCTCTCTTCGGATTTTATAAAAACTAGGGTTCAATGAAAAGATCTCGGGACCGAAGAGTCTTGCGCCGACTTAAAACAGCCGCTGGATTGAAAAACGAACGGTATAGATTGAGTCTTAGTCCGGGCACGAAGGGTTAATCGTTTCGATTTTCCGTTTGATATGGTATACGTTTATATAGGAGTTTGTTTTGATTCTGGACGGGACAATTTACGTATATTATCCTCATTTAGTTTTTAATTGGCTTTAAGACCCTTTATGTAAAATGGCCAAAAGATTTCATGCTCTCGAAGAGCATACGGTCCATTTGCTCCCTCGGGCAAAACCCAATCTAGAACCCACATACTTGGGAATGTCATAGGGAAAATATCTTATTATTTCATATTTTTAACTTCTATATCTCATCTGATCTAAAAATTAAAAATATTACTTAAGCAAATGAACTCCATCTTTTTTATCTCCCAACCCCCTTAAACTTTTTTTATCATATATTATCGATCTCAACAACTTATGAAACGACTCTATTCTCTCTCTAAAACTCCATCTCTCTCTCAAAACTCCGTCTTTTTCTCTCACATCGTCATCTCTCTCAAAACTACATCTATCTCTCTCTCTCACATCCACTTTCTCTCAAAACTCTATCTCTCTCTTTAAAACTCAAACTCCATCTCTCTCTCTAAAACTCAATCTCTCTCTTTAAAACTCAAACTCCATCTCTCTCTTTAAAACTTCATCTCTCTTTCACACATAAAAAGGTGTGCTCGTGTTCAAGCTCAAGCTAAATAGGGTGTCATTTTAATATTTGTTTGGGTCAAAAATTTATGATAAAAGGGGTCCGGGGATTATAAGATAGAAAAGATAAGACCTTCTACCTATGAGCAGTATTTTCAATTATTAGATCTCATGAAAAATGGAAGTTAAAAATAGAAGATAAAGAGATATTTTCCCAATACCATATCTTTAATCCCATATGCTATTTTAAGTTAAAAAAAAAAATTCAAATTTTCATTATGGGCTTAAACAAAAAGAAAAAATAAAAATAATGCTCGGAGATTGAATAGGAACGGTCTAGTTTTGAAGGTGAAATCTAAATGTTTGAAAAATTTATAATAACTATCGAGTGATTTTCATGTGGATTTCTAAATTTAATATAAAAAAATTATAGATTTCAAAATTTAGGATGAAAAAAAAACCTTCACAAGTTATTCTTTTGCCCGAGGGAGTTGCATACTATGCTTCAGTGCGAGCATAACATATGAGTTATTTAAATCATGACTGATAATTTGAAAGTATAAAATACATAAAAAATGCTTTTAACTCATGTTTTGCTAGTTCAACTTGTGAAGACTGTCAATTTGTCTATCATTGATTTTAGCAAGTATTTAAAGAATTCAATTTTTACTTTGGACCTAATCGGCCAAAATTGGCAATTTTTATTGCAATCGAACTGGTTGGGAATAACATGAGTGAAAGTACCTTTCTTTTATATTATTTCATAGGTATGAATTGCTAACTAAATTTAATTTTGGAGCAATAAAATAGCGTTAATATAAATTTTTTTTCTATGTTTAGTAAAATTGTTGTTGACAATTACCGCTCATTTTAATATTAGAAACATGAGTTTAAATTATATACAATTAAATACGTGAATTTATAAATGATAAAGTTTTAAAATGGAAGTATTTAAATTATATACAATTAAATACATGAATTTATAAATGATAAAGTTGAGAATAATTTATGATGTGTGTTAAAAGGGAAGTATTTTTGCAGCTTTAACTTTCTTGTCCAAGATCAATAGCTCTAATACCAACACTGGATATCGACGAAACTATCTCACGACGTTATGAACCCAGCTCACTTGCCGTTTTAATGGGCAAACATCCCAACCCTTGCCTTTTGAAAGGTTAGTTTTTCATTCACTTTGATAACTATAAATTGTAGGTCACATATCGCTTTAATGGACGAACAACCCAACCCTTGCTTTTCGAAATGTGGGTTTCTTATTCACTTTGATAACTATAAATTGAATATAACTAATTGGATTACGTGCGTTGCACGTAGAACAGAAAAACCATTAATTATATAAATATATAGTGTTTACATGCATCTTTACATTGATCTTTGTTCAAAGAAATTTTACGAATTGAATGGTTTCTAAGGTTACGACTCATTTCTTATTATTACATAATCGCTACAAATTTTGAATAAGCATCAAATACTAATTTAATAAATCGTATAACAAATAAGACCTGAGTTACTTCTAGAGTTATGATATGTCCTATTACATAAGATCATTATAAATTTTAAACATATGTTGAATGTACACAACAAATATGACGTGTCTCGAGGCCTAACATATTGGTATTTAGATGAATATAAATATAATTATCAGAATAGTGATTTTCGACACTAAGACAATCTTTTAACATTTTTTGACGATAGATCGAAACATCTACATAACAGTGAATATATGTTTTTTTGATTTCATAGAAGTGCAACATGCATGATGATAAAAAAAACATAGCATGAATTCGTGGGGCTAATTCCATTGATGTCGATAAATATTACACGATATAAAAATGAACGTATATTATTTGATTTCATGGAAGCACAACATGTCTGATAACAACAAAAAAAGAAAAAAAAAAAATAGTATGCATGCAGGGGTGCCAATTCCATTGATTTTTGGTAGTCTTATGGGTGTATACATGGACAATTATAAAATAAGTAATTGATCAATGGTTTTATCAACAATATTAAATATTATGGCAAACAATAAAAACACAAAAAATTTATTTCATTATTTTATTGCTACTACTGCCTCATACCTTTACAGAGCAAAGAAATGACCGCTTTTCGTTCCTGCGATCGAGAAGCTACGCGATGACATTAAACACAATTCAAAATATAAAAAATCTTAAAAAAAAAGAAATATATTTGTAATATTCTTTTATTTTCTTTTTTATATTCTATATCATTTTGGTAAAGATTAAAAATATTTTGGCCCAACTTGAAGATATTTAAAAAAAAGAAAAATTTCAAGCTACACCCCAATTTGGTGTGTGATTTTTCTATGGATGCTAAAATTTGAAACATTTCTAGTAGCATTAATGCCAACGAAAAAATCATTTTGAGCAACTTATTTGCCTTGAACGGATCATGTAATGATGCATTCTCTATCCCAAACCTATCCTCCTCTCTGCCCCAATTTCCATACCCCTTTCTCTCTCTACCCCAAACCCTCTCTCTCCCCCCATATGAGCTCTGGCCATAACCCTTTTTCTTTGCCCCAAGCCCTCTCTCTCCTCCCATTTGAACTCTGTGCCATACCCAAATCGTGCTCTTTCTTAAACAAATCTTGATTTATTGAGCAACATCGTTTTCAGCCCCAAACTTATTGATTCTAGAGAGAGAATCATCGGGTTCAGGTATCCAGGCTCGAGCTCCTCAGCCATTATTTCAAGGCCTCAACCAGTCAATTCTAGAGAGAGAAGGTTATAGGATTCATGATGTTGAGGTTTGGGATTTTTATTCAGAGTAGTGGATCTGGAGAGAGAAAGTGAGGCTCTATCTTAGTAAAATATGTTGTGAACAGCTCGATGATTCAACTGAGTTCAAGTAAAAGTTTAAAAGCCCTGATATGACACAGCACCTGCATCCATGCACCTTTCTCATACTGCAATCAGAGAGCTAAATTACGTTTGGAGAGAGACTCATCGTCATCCTTGAATAATGAATACATTCATGAAACATGGCCCAAATTGCTGAATTTGATGCTGAAAAATCCGTATTAGAAAACTTGAATGTGGTTTTGCGCAAAATACTAAAAAATGGTAGTTATTTTCATGGACGCAATGTGAGAAATGAGCATCTAAGAGGCTTGGTTATAATTTTGTATCAAGAGAGAGATATTGAGTAGAGAGAGGGATTGGGGTAGAGAGAGAGAGAGAGGGGGGTACAGTGCATAGCTCAAATTTAGAAGAGAGAGGGTAGGTTTGGTTTAGAGAGAGAGAGACAGAGGGGTATGGCGCAGAGCTCAAATTAGAGGCGAGAGAGAGGGTGGATTTTGGGCATGAGTGAGATGTACGTGTGCATCCTTACAGGATATGTTAGGGGCAAATAAGTTGCTTAAAACATACTAAAAGATAGGAATCGGACAAAGTTAATGCCTTTAGAAATGTTTCAAATTTATGGATTTATAGAGAAATCAAATATGAAAATAGGGCGTATGATGAAATTTTCCCTTAAAAAAAAATAAAAAATACAAAAATCTCAAGAAACAAGAAAACTAGTTGTCATATTTTTTTTATATGTTTTTTTATATTTTTTATCATTTTGGCAAAGATTATAAATATTTTGGCGATGAATATTTATTTTTATATTTTTATAAATATAGACTCTCACTTGCTTCAATCAATAACTAAAACATCTCATGCCATGAAAAGTATAATAGAGAATCATACTAAATGAATCTTGCAATATGGAGAAAATACTAATAATTAAATTGCTACAAATATTAATACCATGGAAAAAGCAAAAGTCCCTACCTGATTCAGAGTAAGGAAGACATATGCAGTAAAGAGGGAGAGAAAGATAATAAAAGATAGCAAGAAGCTAATATAGTTTATATGACCAAACGGCTAAGGCATGCACCTTAAGGGTTTTTTAACTTCCATAACATCAAAACCCTAACTAATGAAAGAGAAATTGAAAGAGAGAGTGGGGCATGCATCCATTGAGAGGGGTTATCAAGCTCTTGAATGGGGATATGTAAACAATCTTAGATATGTATACATATCTTTCCCTTTCTTGAATTTGAGTTGAGAATAAAAACTCATTTTAGAAAGTTTGAACTAAAAAATAGGGAAAGAAAAGTTTTATTTCTCAAATTCAAATATGAAAACAATCTCTCTCTCTTCCTAAA